GTGATTTTTAAAAATATGATATAAGAGTCTTCATTTTAATTCCGCTAGATTAAAACATTAGTAATAAAATTGCTAATACTTGATGCAACTTGCCTTGAGGAAAATGTTACTTAACCTAGTTTTTTTTACAGCTTCGTCCAATAACATTCCAAGATTTTGAGACTGCTTTGAAACGAGTTCGAGCTAGTGTATCAGATATGGACTTAGACCAATATGTGAAGTGGAATAATTTATATGGTTCTGGATAAATAATTCTGTCTGAAATCAAATAAATAAAAATATTTATTCATTAAATAATTTATTATTTCATTTTTGATATGCACATGTTCAATCGTAATCTTATAATAAAAATGATTTCAAAGGAATGGGATAAAGTTGCATAAAATACTATGTATATCACGAGATCTAATACTAAAATATTTGTTTTAAAGGGTTCTGCACCCGTAATTAAATCCTATTATTATTTTATAATACCAGCAAGATACAAATATAAGGCTTAACTTAATAAGCTCTCTTATTAAAAACTACAGTTGCTCCCTTTGTTTCGTTTATATTTAAATTTATATAGATAAGTCTCAAAGGCCTTTGGATTGTGATATCACAACATATATATATTTGTCTTTTCAAAATTACTTATTAAAAGTTTAAACTTTAATAATACTAATAAACGCCAATTCATGATAATTGGCAATTAAGATAAGTACACTTTTTTGATTAAGTCGTAAACTATATAAATATCAGTTGATTAGATTAGAAAATTTCATAAATTATTCACAAGAGCTTATAGATTAATTCTAAATATATACATAGTTATCGTATTTGAGCACATTTCAGTTTTGTGCAGGATAAAATAAAAATTATTTACGTACATTCGCTTCTTGAAAAAGTAGTCTGATACATAATAAACATTTTCAATATAACATTAATAAAATAATTAAACAAATAATAATAACAACTTTAAATTGTGAGCATCGACTTTGGAAAATACAATTTAAATTTACTTATAAATAATTTAATTTTAATTAAACAAATTTAGACGATTTTTATAACATAATAATTTATTTAAAAAATATATCGGCATTCCTATTACTAAACTACCAGTTTGCAAATCAAATTTTCATGATGAGTAAATAACTTGGTCTGCCTCAAGATTATTTAACAAGATTATTAATAACATTAATTTAATTTTATTTGTCCATTACATATCCAAACCTCAAATTATCAGTTATATATTACTAGATATATTGAAAATGCTTTATCCTGTTATCAAGACTACAAATTATTGGATACAATTTGTAATTTTCCACACAATCATTCAATTATATCTATATATACAGACGAAGAAAATTATTTAACATACAAATAATACTTCAATTAATTAATATTAATTCAAACTATGCTTTGAGTTAAGAATTATATTATAACAATTTGTGCACGTTATTGTTGTTTAAAAAATTGTTGAGCATTATTAAAACCTTGCAAAGTGATTTTGAAGATGTGGATGCAAATATCACCAGACTGTTAAAAACATTTAAAAAAATAATGTGAAATTAAAATAGGAAAACAAAGTTAATTTTATTCTTTAATTATTGATAGGTTTAATTACAGAAGTCTTGGATGGGTCTTGGTTTCATTCATAATATATAAAAAATGTATCAAATCACTTTATCGCTTCACAATCACTAAATTGTATCTTTTCACTTTTTTTAAATAGATGCCAAATGGAACGTTTTTTGCAGTCTGGTATACTTTGTGCAAGCACCATAAAATAAACTATTATTTAAACGTATTATAAATACAACAAGTAATTTTATAAAAATGAATAAATAAATTATTGCAAATATCAAATAAAAATGTGAACAACCAACATTTAACACATAAATAATCTTTAGATAACTTTAATTTGTTCTCACAAAAAAAAAAATTAAAGCAGAATTGATAATTTGGTCTATAATAATAAAAATAGGTCTGTCAAACTTTCTTTTAGCAATTTGGCAATTTATATTTTGCATTTAGTATTTAAAATATTATATACAGTAATATTTCTTGGCATAAATAATTTTGGATTTAAATGATAAAGTAATAATTGCAAGTACCGAGTAAAAGTCTGGTATTTGTGCCAAAAATTTAAATTGCCAGTTCAACATAAGACATATATATATATATATATATATATATATATATATATATATATATATGAATTAGAGTGGTCCTTAATATGGATATTTTCCAACTACGGGAAGTTAATAAAAAAAACTGTTCATTTGTTCGCTAAATTATATCTAGAAACATGTTTAAAATTTTTCCATACAAAACTTTGATTGACTTGCGCTCTATCTAAAGGACAATATTAAGAGCTAAAACTTTAAACTATGAAAAATTTTCAATTACGAGCCCCCCCAGAAACTGAATTAGCCACTGCACCGAGCTTATGTCTGTGCGTTGGTCGTGGAAGGTTCCTCTGAAATTTATTCTGCTACCCAAATTGCCACGGTAATTGCCGCCTCTCATCGTAGGTCGTACATCAACCATCATCGGCGGACCGTTATTGTACCGATTGCTATTCATCGGCGGAATATTTGGGCTCATCATCATCACCTCCTGGGATGGAGGAGGATAATATTCTGGAGATTCAATGTAAGCATTATGGCGATTCGCCTGAGGCGGTTGTGTTGCATAACTATTCGTTCGTTCTGGATTTCGAATTTGATCTAGTAGTTCTACTCCTCCTGGTCTTGCGCCTTGGTTCGACGTTTCTGCTGATTTAATGGCCAGGTCGTCAATCCTCAATTGCAAGACATGGATGATATGGGATTTTGAATAGTTATGTTTATATATCCACTATCTATTTTGTTTTTCAAAATATTAGGCATGACAAATGCGGTTTACTTATACAAGTGTTAAAAATGAAGTAATTAATCAATATGTCATGACTAGATTTATGAAATTGCCTATGTCACGCGTTAACATATACAATTTTTGATCTATCTTAGATGTGGAAAATGTAAAATTCGTGATAAACTTCGACTATCCGAACAATTTCGAGGACTCCGAGGAACTGCTGCGTATACTTCTTCCACTCCTGCAAATTCTCCTGTCAATCACCAATTACAAGACATGGATGATGTGGGATCCAAATAGCCGCCAATGAAATTTATACACAATAATAGCGCAGAGTATGTTGATCGAGGCGGTTGTGGTACACAACTATGATTATTTCTTGTTGGAAGTTGAGGCGGGTATCTCTATTATGATAATTGGTAAGAGGCGGTTGTGACTGGGATACATTTGGAATATACATTGGATGTGGAAAATTCAGTGGTGGTAATTGAGATCGATTTCTATTCTGATTGCAAATGCTCCTGCTGGCTTGTCCGCTACTAGAAGTTGGAAGCGGTTGTGGTCGTCGTTGATGCTGTTGCTGTATCTCATTAATATTGCACATTGTCGAGGACAGAGGCACGCGCGATCTGAACATTGAAAACGACGTGGACCTCGATCTGGGCATCGACCTGGATCTAGATCTGGATCTCGACTTCGATCTCAATTGCAAATTAGTTCTGGATCTCGACTTTGATCTAGTTCTACTCCCGGTCTTGCGCCTTTGTTCGACGTTTTTGCGAGTCGTTCGGTTGCGTAAGCGTCCTCGACCTCTATTACCACGACCACGATCTGCAATGTATCAAAATAAGGATGTGTAAATTATCGATTCAATATTAACCCTCCGTCGGTCGGATATTTTTCCACCTTCGAACTGTCTGGACCACCATTCATTTTACATGCATTTATATGGGATAAATGAGTTTTTGATGTCTTATATATTAACGATTATTAGTAGTAAATATTTATAGTTTAGATTTTTTCTTTTTCTTACCGTCTTTTGCATGTGTTGAGTTCGCTTATAATAGAAATATTACATATTATATTATAACTAGCAAACCCGACGAACTCCGTTTCGCCACCAGATGGTTTCGTGAGAAAGATGAAGAAATTTTTTGTTTGTTTTATATTTGAAAAGGAAAAATTTGATTTTCTTGCACAACAGTAATGAATTTATTTCGATTACAAAAATGAAGTGTTTTTTTGTTGAACTTCTCTAAGTAAATGAAAGTGAATCCGCAAACTATCCGTTTCATTGAAGTGCTCTTTGGTAAACCACATTTTTTGTTTTTTGGTCTGACTTTAACACAAACAAAGCGGATGGTTTTCCAACTCGTGAACAGGCAAAGTACAACTGCCCATGTGAAAAACAATGATTTTCTAAATAATCTATTTGAAATTCATCTCGCAAACACTAAGCGATTGGCCTTGCGACTTGTTATTGCGAACTGGAATTGCAATCGTAAGTCAACGGAACCAGTCAATCATTGGTATCACCAAATCGCCAGCAATTTTGATTAAATGGTGATCATTATTATTTGCGGCAAGATTGCTGTTGACTTAACCAAGCAAATTCTATAATTCTCACTAATGCCATTACTCGAATTTTTAATTACGGTGCGTGAATTTCCAGCAATTTGCATTAGGCATGATGCCATGCACAACTAATTTTCTTGCTATTAACCTTGTGGAGCCCGAACCTTTCCTACGAATGCAAAATTGTCGAAATCGGTTTGTGCGTTCTGAAGTTATTTTGTCAGGAAGGAAAACCCGACTTATTTATATTACATATATAGAAGATATATAAAAAAAAACAAGAAATAGAATTCGTTCGGTCGGAAAGCAGTGCGCGATGCGTTACACGCGAGTATACAAACTCTGGTTTCTTCAATTTTTAAATGTGTTCCACAAATTTGATTTGAACAAAATTTCTCAGTGCTAAAAGAAAAAACAATAGGCTTTCGAATAACGCTAATAAGAAAGTAATTAAACAAAACGCACTAAACATTAATTGAATAATTATTTTATCCTTTTTAGCTAATAATAAAGAATTATTTAGCATATATTACTATACATTATGTGGTCTAAGCCAATATGAGTAGAATCACGTAATTTTTTTTCGATATCTTTTATGGTTACGCCAAAAATTGAGTTTGGAAAAGGGGCCACTTTGGCATATTTTCTATGATATCTCGGCCATAAGGTGAGATACAAAGTTGAAGTTTGGTATATCGGATGTTTTCAAAATGACCTTCAAAATGGCGTATAAATTATTCAAATGCAAGGGTATTAGTTGATTATGTATGGCAATTAGTGTTAGAACGAAATATCGAGTACTGAGTAAATATCGATACTTTGCGGTCGATAGTGAGCACTTTTGGTATCGATTTTCTAGCTCGATCTATTTGCCAATATCGATCTTTTTCGTCGATAGTACTCAAAAAGAATCGACAGCGTAATCTATGAACACCACTCATCGACCAACTATGAACACCACTCATTTTGCGAAATGCAATGCAATAGTCTCTATAGGTGTCAAAAATAATCCCGAGAGGTGTCATTAGTCTCAGAATTTATTGCTCAAAAACCCAAATTGAATATGACCACACTAATAAATAAAGATGTTTATTTATTACTCTTATGTAAAATGAAACGGCTTTTAAAGTACCAAAATGTATTATAAAAACATATTCAACAATCAAAGTATGATTATTTCAAATAATAATACTCATCCATTTCAATATATCAGTATTTTGCGTCAAAAAGAATCGAAATATAATTATTTCAAATGATAATACTCATCCATTTCGCAAAATACTAACATATTGAAATGGATGAATATTATTATTTGAAATAATTATATTTTTAACTTCCCGTAGGGTAAGTTATTGTAATGGGCCGAAAATCGGAATTGAAAATTTTTACATTTCTCGACGTTTTGAAGGTTTCTGAACGTTTTGGCATACCTCAGAAAAAATGGATGTGTGTGTGTGTATGTATGTATGGATACAAATTTTCGTCCACGTTTTCGGGCGTACGGGTCAACCGATTTGAATGGTTTAAAAACATTCGATTCCTATTAATAAGGAGAGAGCTGATTAGTTTTTGGCAAAGCAGGTCCAGCAGTTACGGAGATAAGGAGCAAAGAGTGCAGAAAATAGAAATCGAGTTTTTGAGAGAACGGAGCATCCGATTTGAATTATCTAAAAACATTCCATTAGTAATGATTGGGAGAAAGGGTTATTAGTTTTTCAAAGGCAGGCCCAGCCATTTCGGAGATACAGAGCTAAATGTACAAAAATGGCAGTTTTTGAGAGAACTAAGCGTCCGATTCAATTGATTCAAAGAACTTTCTGCTTGTCTTAACAAAATAATTGATTTTGGAAAAAAAATTGTTTTTTTTTTTTTTTTTTTTTTTAATTTTTTTTATATCGAAATAATTCAGATTTTATTTTTAATTCTGACTATAGTTCTAATATACTTTAAACAAATAATTTCAACTCTGCAATTCAGTTTATATAATTCTTATAAATATTAGACAATATACAATATTTATAATAATCTATTTGAAAACATTCAATATTCCTCGAACGTTTCGTTACGGTACGGGAAGTTCTAGCAATTTGCCTTAAGGCACGATGCCACCCACCCCACTAGTTTCGATTTTTTTTACGCAAAATACTAATATACTGTAATGGATAAGAATTATTTTGACATAATTATATTTCGATTCTTTTTTACGCAAAATACTCATGTATTCAAATTTTTGAATATCAACATGCAAACATATGAGTTTGAGTTTCTCGGAACCATTTAAACTTTAAATCCCATTGCTCCGACGGGATGTTTCTCTACAAGTGTCGAAATATTATCTTGACCGTCATTAAACTGAATCTTTATTGCTTTCCAAAGAGCTTCATATTGCACTTTTATGTAAACATGTAACGAATTTTAAAGTTGCATGCTCGCTAAAATTATTCATATAAAAATATTCAACAATTATAATAAATATTATTTTACTTAAAAATATTAAAGTTATTATTGTACTTAAAAATATTTAAAAAGTGTTGCTTTTTGAATATAGTATCAGACTATTATATTGTTGTCAAAAATACTCAACTATTATAACTTGTCTTTTTTTGAAAAATTATAGAATTTGAAATTAGTATTGAAAAATTACTGTTAAAATTTTACAATATTGAAAATGATTCTGATTTAACACATCAGATACAAGCAATAGAATTCATTCTAATATTGTGATACGATATTTAATGAGGTTTAGATCTTTGTTGCACTTATGTTTGATTTTTATGAAAAGTACTGAAATTTCGATCGAGTATCGAGTACTATCGATACTTTTGCCACGATATTTTTTTGGCATCGATATTTTGAATGTTCTGTCATTTTACATATGCTTTCTGAACAGTTACAAGAATACAAACTCAAAATTTGAAAGCAAGTTAAAAAAAAATTTTTTTTTACATTTTCAAAAACTCGAGGGATGATGACGCAATCGCGAGATGCTTGCCAGACCGGCACTTTCTTAAGGAGGTCTTCCTATGTGATGAGTTGAAAAAAATGATTTTTTTTATTTCATATTTCGGTAGATTATACCTTTAAAAATAACATTAAAATTTCAAATCGATATCTCAAATAGTTTTTGAGTTACAGCCATTTAAAAAGTATACATATAGTATATAGTACAACGATAATTTTATCTTTAAACGCGTTTTTCTCAAAACTGTGTTTTTCAAACTTTCCTCCATCGTATCTCAGAAACGGCTGGACCGAATTACTTGAAATTTACAGGGCACACATCAATATATTTAAACGCATGGAATGAACTATTATCAATCAAAATTTCAAAACTTCGATTTTTTATAGCAAAAAAAAAAAAAAAAACGCCTAATTTGCAACTTTTATTTCAAATGTCTATCAAAAATCCAATTTTTTATATTCATTTCATTATAGGTCATTCCGTGCTTTTAAGCCTACAAATTAAAACGCCGTTTATTTTTTTTTTTTAAGATAAGCCGATCAGCCGGAATCGTGGAGGAAGTGGGAGCTCTTTTTTTCGAATCCCCCGTGTTCAGAGCGCTTGTAACTTTAGTTTGACTGAATATTTTTAGCTGAAATTTTATATTTATACTGTCCAAGTATGTGTTAATAAATGATAAAAAACTTGAAGCTCTAAATATTTACTGGTCGTAGAAAAAAATTCTAAAATATCCCTAAAAAACAGGCCGTCACATAGGAAGACCCCCCCCCCTTAATGTATCGATAATAAAATATCATTAAAAAAATTTCTAGCTCTGAGAAAACAAATAGTTCACTGGCTCTTAGGCTATAAGGCAATTTTAAAAAATTTATTTTGAAATTTCTGTATAATTTCTATATTAGTTTCATTATTAAACAACCAATATGAATGGATCCAAGTACTTACGTCTATGTCGGCCATTTGATCCCACATCATCCATGCCTTGTAATTGAGGATTGAAGGTTCAGGTCGAGGTCCAGATTGAGGTCCACGTCGTTTTCAATGTTCAGATTGAGCGTGCCTCTTGTGTCGAAAAAAGCACGACAGCCACAGCAGACTCAACAACCGCTTTTAACTTCTAGTAACGGGCATGCCAACATTTGCAATCAGTAGATGTCAATTACCACCACAGAATTTTCCACATCCAATGTGTATTCCAAATGTATCCCAGTCACAATCGCCTCTAACTAATTATCATAATAGATACCCGCCTCAACTTCCAACAAGCAATAATCATAGTTATGTACCACAACCGCCTCGATCATCAACATACTCTGCGCTCTATTATTGTGTATAAATTTCATTGGCGGCTATTTGGATCCCACATCATCCATGTCTTGAATTGGTGATTGACAGG